CCCTCCTGGCGTCCCTTCCTCCTTTGTCCTGCCCCTTCTGATTGTTTCCATCACCCATGACCACTGGCTGGTAGATGAGCTCAGGGCAGCAACCATTTCCTTCTAACATGGCACACCCCAAAGAGGAAGCCTCAATGTCTTGTGAATGGATTATATCATTTGGCAAAATTCAACCTGAGCATGAGCTTATAGCAATAGAAGTTTATGGTAATCTATAAGCTTCCATCTTAGAACTGCTTTTGCTGTATCCCATAGATTTTAGATTGTTATATTTTGTCTCAAGGCATTTTTTAAATTCCCTCTTTGATTCCTTCATCGATCTCTTGATTGTTCAGTACCATATTGTTTGGCCTCCACATGTTTGTTTCTTTTTTCTTTTACAGTTTTTTCTTGTAGTTGATGTCTAATCTCATAGCACTGTGGTTGGAGAAGTTGGTTATTATGGTTTCAATTTTCTTAAATTTACCCAGGTTAAGACCCTGATGCTGGGAGGGATTGGGGCAGGAGGAGAAGGGTACGACAGAGGATGAGATGGTTGGATGGCATCACCGACTCAATGGGCATGAATTTGAGTGAACTCCAGGAGTTTGTGATTGACAGGGAGGCCTGGCGTGCTGCGATTCATGGGATTGCAAAGAGTCGGACACGATTGAGTGACTGAACTAACTAACTAACTTTGTGACCCAGCCTGTGATCTGCCCTGGAGAATGTTCCATGTGCACTTGAGAAGAATGTATATCCTGCCACTTTCAGATGGAATGTTTTGTAAATATCAATTAAGTCCATGATGTTTTTTGTGTCATTTAAGGCCTGTGTTTCCTTACTGGTTTTCTGTCTGGATGATCTGTCCATTGATGTTAGTGGGGTGTTAACAGTCCGCCATTATTGTTACTGTTGATTTCCCCTCTTGTGGCTGTCAACATTTGCCTTATATATTGAGATGCTCCTATGTCGGGTGCAAATTCAATAACAATTGTTATATCTTCTTAGATTGATCCCTTGATCATTATGTAATGTCCTTTAACAGTCTCATTTTAACATCTGTTTTGTCTGATATGAGTATTCCTACTCCAGCTTTCTTTTGATTTCCATTTGCATGGAATATCTTTTTCCATCTCTTCACTTTCAGTCTATATGTGTCCCTAGATCTGAAGTGAGTCTCTTACAGACAACATATATACGGGTCTTGTTTTTGTATCCATTCAGTCAGTCTGGGTCTTTTGGTTGGAACATTTAGTTCATTTACATTTAAGGTAATTATCAACATGTATGTCCTTATTGTTTTCTTGTTTGGATTTGTTTTTGTAGGTCTTTTTCCTTCCCTTCCTCTTTTGTTTTCTTCTCTTGTGATACCATGACTATCTTTAGTGTTGTGTTTGGATTGCTTTTTCTTTTTTCTGTGTGTATCTATTATAGATTTTTGGTTTACATGAGGTTTCAATATAGCAGTCTTTGTATATACAGGTTTAAGTTGCTGGTCTCTTATTTCATATGTATATCCAATATCCAGCATTTATACTCTCGTCTCCTCACAGTTGCTGGTTTTGATATAGTGTTTATGTATGTGGATGATTTCCTAGCTTTATTGTATCTTTTATCTTTACTGGTGAGCTTTCCCATTAGTAATTTTCTGTTTCTAGTTGTGTTCTTTTCCATCAGAGAAATTCCTTTAGCATTTGTTGTAGAGCTGGTTTGATAGTGCTAAAATATCTTTAACTTACTTTTTTGTGTAACTTTTCATCTCCATGTTGAATCTGAATGAAACCTTACTGGGTAGCTTGTTCTTGGTTGGTTTCTTTCCTTCATCACTTTAAATATATTATGCCACTCTCTTCTGGCCTGCAGCATTTCTGCTGAAAAAATGAGCCGATAATGGAACGATTCACGAATTTGCATGTCATCCTTGCGTAGGGGCCATGCTAATCTTCTCTGTATCGTTCCAATTTTAGTATATGTGCTGCCGAAGCGAGCACTTATTCTTTTTTCTTAATTCTGTTCCCCAGCAGTGATTTCCATCAGTTTATCTTTCAGATCACTTATTCATTCATCTGTCTCAATTATTCTGCTATCAATTCATTATAGTGTATTTTTCAGGTCAGTTATTATATGGTTTAGCTCTGTTTGTTTTTTAAGGTTCTAGCTCTTCATTAAATATTTCTTGTATCCTCTCAGTCAGTCTTTGCCTCCATTCTTTTTCCAAAATCTTGGATTACCTTTACTGTCATTACTCTGAATTCTTTTTCAGATAGAGTGCCTGTCTCCACTTCATTTAGTTGTTGTTCTGGGATTTTATCTTGTTCCTTCATCTGAAGCTTATTTCTCTGCTGTCTCATTTTGTCTAATTATCTGTATTTGTGGTCTTCATTCCTCAGGCTGCAGGATTGTAATTCTTCTTGGTTCTGGTGTCTCCTCCCTAGTGTGTGAAATTGGTCTTGTGCAGACTTCCTGGTGGGAGGGGCTGGTACCTGCCCACTGATGGGTGAAGCTGGATCTTAACCCTCCGGTAGGCAGAGCCATGTCAAAGGGTGTCCTTATAGGTGGTTTTTGGCTCAGGGCAACTTCAGGTAGCCTGGTGGTAGCTGGTGGGTGGGGCTGTGTTCCTATTCTGTTTGGCCTGAGGTGTGTCCCAGCACTGGAGCCTGCAGGCTGTTGGGTGGGGCTAGGTCTGATGATTGTTCTGAGAGAGCTTATGCTGATGGATATTCCCTGAGGCAACCACCAGCTTCTCTGCCTCTACAGTGATCTACAGCTAACCCTCACCTCCCCAGGAGACCCTCCAAGACCCGCAGGTTTGTCTGGCTCCATCTCCTATCAAATGACTACTTTGCTCTGAGACCTAGTACACTTGAAAACTTGTGTGCACCTCCCAGAGTGGAGTCTCTGTTGCCTCTAGTCTTGTGGAGCTCCTGTACTCAAGCTGACTGGTCTTCAAAGCAAAATGCTTTGGGGGCTCCTCCTCCTCCTGATGTCAGACCCCCAGGCTGGGGAGCCTGATGAGGGAGTCAGAACTCTCCTCCTTGTGGGAGATCCTCTGCAATGTAATTATTTTCCAGTTTGTGGGTTGCCCACCTGGCAGATACGTTATTTGGTTATATCACAACAGTGTTCCTCCTGCCATCTTGTTGTGGCTTCTTCGTCTTTGTGTGTAGAATAACTTTTTTTTTTTCTTCTTAAGATTAAAGTCGGTTTTTGTTGATGATTGTTCAGCAGTTTTGAAAAAGGTGTTTTGTAAAAGGAGATGAGCTCAAATCCTTCTACTCCACCATCTTGTCTCCAGCTACTCAATCACTGCACAAACAATTCTGGAAATCAACAATGCTAGTCTCCTAAGCCCATCTAGAAGTACCTTCAATCATAAGATTTTTCTTCATTTGGTTAATACTGTGTATTATATTGCATGCAGATGACTTATTCCTTGCATTCCTGGAATAAATCCCACTTAGTCAAGGTATATGATTATTTAATAAGTTGTTGAACTAGGTTGGCTAATATTTTGTTGAGGATTTTCATATTTTATGTACATTAGGGATGTTTGCTTGTAATTATCTTTCGTGTCATCATCTGGTTTTGTCTTTCGGGTAAGGTTAGCCTTGTAAAATAAATTTGAAAATGTTCTCCTGTTTTTTTTTTGAGAGAGTTTAAGAAAGATTGGTATCATTTAAATATTCGGTAGAATTCACCAGTGAAGTCATCTGTTCCTTTCGTTAGGTTTTTGATACTGATTCGGTCTTCTTACTAGTAATTGGTGTGTTCAGATTTTCTATTCCTTCGATTCAATCTTGGCCAGTTTTATGTTACTAGGAATTTATCCTTTTCTCTAGGTTGTCAAATTTTTTGGTGTATAATTGTTCATAGCAGTCTCTTATGATCCTTTGTATTTCTATGGCATCAGTTTTAACACCTATTTTTTCACTTCTGATTTTGAGTCCTCTTTTTTGTTGGTTAGTCTAGCCAAAAGTTTGTCAATTTTATCAATTTAAAGAACCGGCTCCTAGTTTCATGTTTTTTTAAGTCTGTTTTATTTCTGATGATTTCATAATTTCCTATCTTCTCCTAACTTTGGTTTGTTTTTTTCTTGAAGGTGTAAAGTTGTGATCTGAAATTTTGAGGTCCTTGAGGTGTGAAGTTATGATTTGAAATTTTTGTTTATTGAGGAAGGCATTTATCACCATGAGCCCCTCTTAGAACAGCTTTTGAGGCATCTCTTTTTTGTTGTGTTGCATTTTTTTTATTTGTCTCAAGGTATTTTTAAAACTTATTTTGACTCATTTTTGTTTTTCAGTAGTATCTTATTTAATCTTCACTTATTTGTGGATTTTTCAGTTTTCTTCTTATAACTGATTTCTAGTTTAAAGCTATTGTGGTTGGAAAAGATGCTTGTTACAATTTCAGTCTTACATTTATTAAGGCTATCGTGTTTTGTGGCCTAACACGATCTATTCTGGAGAATGTTGGATGTACAACTTAATGTGTATTTTGTTGTTTTGGATGGAATGTTCTATATACAGTTGACCTTTGAACAGCATGGGTTTGACTTGTGTGGGGGCTCTTATACATATACTTTTTTTCAACAGATACATGAAATTATATGTGTAGCACACTGTGTGCAAGATGTACTGAAGTGGATAGCCTATCTTTACATAGACATAAGGTGAGTGATATTTAATATGAAATCAATGTGTTAGTTTTCTCACTGCTTTATAACTTTGCATTCAAAGAATATTACTATATAGTCTACCTCTCTTGCAGAGTAGGAAATAGCAACCCACTCTAGTATTCTTGCCTAGAGACTCCCATGCTCAGAGGAGCCTGGTGGGAGTCACAGAGTCAGACATGGTTGAAGCGCCTTAGCATGCATGCATGCATTGGAGAAGGAAATGCCAACCCACTCCAGTGTTTTTGCCTGGAGAATCCCAGGGACAGAGGAGCCTGGTGGGCTGCTGTCTGTGGGGTCACAAAGAGTCAGACACGACTGAAGTGACTTAGCAGCAGCAGCAGCAGCGGCTACCTCCCTTGTAATTGGAGAAACTGCAAAACAGCCTATCACTGTAGGTGAATTTTTTTTTAATGTGTAACAGTGTTTCCAATACTATGTTATATGACTACTAGTTTGTGCCATAAAATTTCCATAATGATTCATTCTTAGTGTATAGGCTGGTTAAGTCTTTCTATGGATTATAGGAGACTACCATAAAGCAATATTACTGCTTCATTACTGATACATGAATTATCATACCTGTAAATAAATGTATTCATTTTTACTGTCTACTGTTAATACATGTAATGTCTACAGTAGTATACAAAACACAAAAGACAATATTGATGTAGGTACTGACAGATGATTTGTCTTGTAAACTTATGGTGTTGACAAATACAGTAGTAGATGTATATATTTTATTTTCTTAACATTTCTATAGCTTTATTTTAGGAATACAGTATATAGTATATATAACATACAAAATGTCTTGATTGTTTTATTATCAGCAAGGTTTTTTGGTCAATACAAGGCTATTAGTAGTTTTGGAGGAGTCAGAAGTTTTATGTGAATTTGACTGCATGGGGGTGCTGCTGCCCTGGCCAGTGTTTTTCAGGTCTGTTAAGTTCATCTGGTCTAACGTCATTTAAGGCTGATGTTTCCTATTTTCTGTCTAGATGATTTACCCATTCACAAAGATGGATATTAAAATTCCCTACTGTTATTGTATTACTATTTCTTACTTTAGGTCTGTTAATATTTGATTTATATATTTAGGTGCTTCTATGTTGGGTATATAAATATTTACATACATTGTATCTTACTGGGTTGATCCTTTAATTATTACATAGTAACACCCTTGTCTGTCTTACCACAGCCTCTGTGTTCAAGGTCTGTTTTGTCTGATACAAGTATAGCTACTCCAGCTTCTTTTTGTTTCCATTTGCATACGTATCTATTTTCATCCCTTCACTTTGAGATGTGTCTTTACATCTGAAGTCTCTTGTAGGCAGCATATATTTAGCCACTCTGCATCTTTCGATTGGAGAGCTTAGTTCCTTTACATTAAAAGTAATTGATAGGTATGTAATTATTGCTATTTTAATTTTTTTTCTATTTGGTAGTTATTCTCCTCATGATTTTTATATAGTGGTATGCTTAGATTTATCTTTTGTATATCTACTCTAGATTTTTGCTTTGTGGTTACCATTAGGAATAAAGGTGGTTGTTTTTTTTTTAACTAATAACTGCAATATGAATCTATTCTGTATCTCTGGGGAAAGAAGCCCATAGGGATTAGATTCTAAAACACTCCTACTGAAGTTTAAATTGTCAAAAAGTAACAGTAAAAAAATTTTTTTTACATCAGTCCAGCAACCACCAATGATTTTATTTAATATTCAGGGTGGCTCGAACAGAAACAGTCTTGAGATCCAACTAGCATTTCTAAAGTGAAGAAAACAAGAGTTCTGAAACAAACCAATTAGGCCTCCAACCCACAATAGTCATGCACCTAGGATGTGCAAGTCATTGGATTTGCAAACTTCTAAAATAGCTGTATGTGCTGAAATGAAGGGAATCTTTTATTGAGCCCATCTTGTCACCGCTGACACTCAGGGCTCATACTAAGCAGTTATGCACAGACTTACAGGTTAAAATACAGAAACAACTCCATATTGATAAATGGCTGCTGCTTAGTCCCCTGAACTCCTCACCCCAACTGTTCTTATCCCTTCCTCAGGGTGTCCTACAATTACTCTTGATCCTCTCAGTTCTGCACTATGGCCAGCATTTGACCCAATTGGTCAAAGCTCATGCCATGTTATCTGGCGGAATACTGCAAGGTGGTACTTTTAGTATACACACTTCACAGATGTAGAAGTTAAGTCAAGAGAGGCTGTCAGTGACTCCTCTAAGGGCACTCAATTATTAAGGAACAAAGACAAATGCAAAGTCAGGTCAGACTTAAAAACCCATGCTTTACCCACTTTTCACTCTTCTGAATACCTCCTTAAAAGGAGGTTATGAATTTGGTCATCAGCAGACCAAAGGCATAAAGAGATGAAATAGGATCAATATGAATGACATATATCAGCCATACTCATTCTTTAGATCAGGTAGTTTTAGAAGCTTTAAGTTTGCCATAGTTTTAGAATCTAAGTTTAAATCATATCCTAGAAATAAATCATTCTCTCTCATATAAAAAGTATTTAAACCAAATATACCATATATTAAGAACAGGACAGTGCTGGTCATGCACATCTACTCTTTAGCTTAGGTATCTGGCTATGGGAACAGCCCAAGTTCTTCAGATGAAAATGGACCATATAGCAGGCTTTTAAAAAATTCAAGAGCACTTGCAGTCAGGATTACTCACTTGTGATCATGGCACTGGAGCAGCATTCATGGGTAATTTCATTAGACCTGTAAGACTTTCTCAAGTTTTTTACTTAGTAATCAGTTTTTCCAGATTTCTTCTGAGACCATCTGGTACCACTGCAGGGAGAGGAAGCAGAATCTACCAGAAACCTTCATGAAAGTTGACTGAGGATGAGAAAGGTGAACTGATCCCTGTAAGTTAACCTGATCAGTTATTAATAAATTTAAAATGCAATGAAAAACAAGTGTGAGAATAGGAAAAGGCTTGTGACCCACTCTCTGCCTTGCTTAGGATGAGTCTGGACAAAAAGCCCTCTCTCAAGTGACTCTCAGCCATCTGGGCACAGCTGACAGCATTCCTGATCTAACAACTGAAGAATTCTTTATATTGCTCTTTCATGGTGATAGTCATATTTGTATCTGTTCATTTTTGTTATTTTGAACAATCATGATTTAACACACTAATGTGTTCTAACAAAGCAAGGTGTTAGCATAGTAAGAACTTTGCTTTAGAACTCCAGGAGCTGTGCTTTAGTTCTGATGTCATTTACTAGTTAATGTGGTCTTACCAAGTTACTTCTTTTCTCCAAATGTTTCTCCTCTGTAAAACTGATATAATAGCACCTGTTCTACCTCAGATGACTTGTATTATCAAGGAAAACCCTGGGATGTATGGTAGAATTTCCTGATTAAATAGCCTAAATGGTTAGAATGTGATCCTTTTGGTAACTACAGTTGAGACAAAGTTACTTTTTGTTGCTATTGTTGTTATACTCCACCACCTTCCCTTTTCAGGTAATCTAATCATTTAAAACAAGTAAAAAATACTATAGAACTTGTTTCTTAAGGGGGAAAATAGGATTTCACAGGAAGCAAGGTGGACTACATATGTAGGATAAAAGCAACAGAATAACCTTTGAGTCTTAAATGAGAATAATAGCTTTATACACATGGTATTACAATGAGCTGGGTGTGGTTCTAAGTGCTTTATGTGCATGAACTCATTTATTCCTTGCAACCACTTTGTGTGGTAGGTACTGTTATCCTCATTTTCAGATGAGGAACTTGAGACACAGTGGCAGTAAATGGCAGTCAACATTTAAACCCAAAGAACCTGGTTATAAACTGGGTTCTTAACCAGTACTATTGCGATTGCCCTTTTAAAACTGTCATATGTATGTAGGTAATATACATTTCCAGTATGTTAAATGAGTGAGAATTTCCAGATGCATTTTGATCCTAATAAAAGATAACTCCTGAGTTCTCCTCTGGCCCTATGCAGTTGTTCTGAAGTTAGTCTATACACATTTACTCAAATCGTTCCCATTCAAAAATACAAGAATTCTCAACGAGAAGAATCTTCAAAAAAAGGAGGGAAATGAAAGCAGGGGAAGGTAAATGGTGGAGATACGTATGTTATAATTCAAATCAACAGAAGGTTGTAGAAATTCTAAGACTTTTACAGAATTCCTGAAACCCAAGAACTAGAATTCTAATAATTATTTTAAAGCTAGTTGCTAAAATAATTTTTAAAATAAATTAAGCCCTAAGAATATTAAAGTTTAGTATATTTGGGAGGAAAATGATCAGATAACATGTCAAAATTTAAAGTGGGATTATTTTCAGACGTGCCAGTGTGATGTTAAAATGTGTTTAAGTGTAAGTCTGCCTTTTGTAATGTAAATTCTAAAAGTAAACTCACAATCTAATAGGCCTGGGCAGTCTGCACTACTGCTGCAAAACATAGCTAGTAACATCTAATGGTAATCAGCATTACTGTATTTAATAAGTAACAATCAACAGCAAAACACAGAATATATTCTTTAAATTTGTTTCACTGAAATTCTACCATTTTGGTTTCATGTAATGAGGTATTTGTAGAAGTATTTGTTCACATTTTATGTACCATTTAAATTGAAAATTATTTTTTTAGGAGAGGGGGATGACAGCCAGTGAGTAAAAAATAGACTTAAAACTTTATTTTTGAAAAACAACCAAGTATCTACCCAACTGCAGACTTAATAAATTAGTGTGGTTTCTACACTTACTTCCTCTTGGCATGCATGCACTAAAGCTAATTCATATCAGAGAAATATTTTAAATTATATGCAGAAACTATACATTTACCTTGCAGTGCTTCTTAAAGGGAGGAGACCTTGACTACTGTCTAAGAGTAAAGGAAATGCTTTAATTCTGAGGACAGAATTTAGGAGAACAAAAAACAATTTAAGCCTCAAAAGCTAATTGGAGTAAAAGATTACCAGCATGACTGAAATCAGTGATAAATACTAGTGTCTCAGGTAAAGGTAACAGTTCTCACTTTGGCTCAGTTAGCATCTTGTACTTGCTGGGGTAGGGGCATACTATCCCAAAGCTGTGTCATTTCTTTGGAAAAACTTTTAAGAGGAATAGAGGGTCTAAAAGCTGGCTTATCACTTACACACCTTGGATTCTAAACAGATGGTTACCTAAGCCCAGGGAAGCAATTTTATTTTATGGCTTATTCTCTTCTTTTTTTGCATTTTGACACTAGCAGTCATTTCCATTTATTTGAAAATAATATGATAAAGGCCAGTGATCTAAGTCTGTACCTCTTCTTCAATCTCATGTTAGATGTAGACATCCACTTATATACCTCACTAAAATTTTAAACAAAACTGGGTATTTTAATTGGGGACTTTAAATAACAGTTACTATAATGAACATTTCAGAAGAATGAAAACTCAAACAACAAAACTGAAAAATTTGCAGACAGCACCTAAAGCACTCAATTAATGCCAGCATTCCATTACTTATGTCAGTATTTTTTTAAATAGGATTTCTATCTTGATCTACAGAGAACAGGTACAGCCCTTAAGCCATTCCCAATAGGGCTAAGTGTTACTTACCTAGGATTAGCCTTGATAATGGTTATTAGGCATACTTTAACAGCTTGAAACCCATTCATGCTTATCTTGAAGTATACTTCAAGAATTTATTCAGCTGATTCTTAAGTAAAGGAGCCCAGTCAATGTCCTAAGTCTTGAAAGCTCCCTTCAAATGTAATTTCATAGTCTTTAAATTTTAACTGTCATTGTTTATTACTGTTTTGGCTACATTCTCTACAATTTCAGCAGCATCTTAAAGAGACAATGTGTCTATGTACAATGAAAGAACAAAATGGCTTGCAATATCAGAAATTAGAGCCACCATTAACTGTACAATATTAAGGAGAATCTGTGTTAAACATAGCCTCCTTTTTCAGCAACATGGACAATTTACATGTAAGAATCAGCATTATGAATGTGATGATAAAGAAATTTCTTAAAGGAGTGAAATACAGCATCCTGAAAATAATGGTTTCTACCATACAAGGCAGTTAGGAAATGTTCACATTTTAACAAATCTGTACAAACCGCAAGAAACTTGTTTAAGGGACTGTCATCCCACCTTGCTGATTAGAACCTGCTAGAAATGTAGAATTACCATGAACAATTTATAAATCTATTATATATGTGCTCCCACAGCCCTAGAAATCAAGAAACTGATTTCAAGAACTCTTTATGTCCAACATGGATCATTTTTTTCATGCCTTGATTGTTAACAAATGCCTGCTTTTAATAATCTTTCTATGATGTACAGTCCAACTTGCACCTTTTAAGGAGGTCATCTGATTTTTTTTTTTTAAGCAAAGAAGCAACACCATTTAGCAGCAATTAAAGCGCCTTCAAGAAGACTTAAAAAAAATACAATATCCAATTAGAAAAGCCATATTTTTAAACATTTGTACAAGAATAAGCTGCTGAAACTTGCTAGTTGAAATATGACATCTGTACAACAATTTACAATAGAGCTAGAAGGGAATTTATCATTATCCTGCATAGAACTGGTCTGCATTTGGTTACATATTGTCACTTGTTTGAATGAACAAGGCCTGGTAACAAAATAAAAATACCTGTTAACAGTTCTAACATGTTGAGAACACTGGAAATACCATAATTTAGTGACTTCAATTGATTCCAAAATAAGCAGTGTACTTTGTCAAAGGCCTAAAGTATCTAGGAACAGTTCTCCCTTTAACATAACCAGTGAAAAGAGCGGACATGTGATTTCGAGGTACAACCTGGTAAAAGCCAGAATAGGCAAATGACAAAGTCTAACTTTGCCCAAAGATTCTCTCACATCCTGTTACTGTAAAATACAACTGTCAGCGTCATTCCGTTCTTACTTTGGTTGCAGCAGATAAACTGCTGAATGCTGAATAATGTATCCAGGCACTCTATAGTTCTTGTGTTAGAGATATGTCTCATTTTCCATGTGTTTTTAAATAATGAAAAACTACCCTTCATATTAGAACTCTCGAGTAACAACCAAATCTACTGAAGTATTATAAACGTTATTTACAGTGTTCCCCTCCCCAACAAAAACCACTTTTCTTTAACATGGTATTCCTGTTTCTCTGCAACAGGCAGTCACCCTTCACTGCTTAAGGTTACAGTCAGAGGTGTACATTTATTCAGGGTCCATGATCCACTCTATACAAACTTCTATGAAGAACTTCAGTTCACAAACAGTTCTCAATCATATCCTGTGTAAAAAAGAAAACAACAAAAACACTCAAAAGCTCTCAAACTCAAGTGTGCATCTGGAAGCGATTCAAAGACGACATGCCGATTTTGGAGGAAAGTCAGTAAGTAATTATGCTCGAAGAAGGGGGTGTGGGGGATGCGGTCAGCCCAGCCATGTGTAAGTTGCCTGAAGAATTGGATCTTCTCATGTGTGGGAGAAGGTAGGGGTCATTTGCCAGTTGGTGCACATCAAACCTATCTTCTTTTCGGTATGCCAAACAGCGTCTTATAAAGGCCTTAAAAAAAAAAAGTCAGCAATTAAAATCTCTTCTAAGTATTAATCAACTGAATACTACAGATGATGTCTCAACTCTCTAGTAGTTCACAGTACTAAATATTACTGCTACTACTTATTGCTGGAAAGCTGCATTTCTTTTGTTTCAAAAAAATTTTATGGGGATTAAAATATACATAACATAAAAATGAGCATTTTTAACCCGAGTATACAATTCAGTGACATTAAGTACACTCACGCTGCAGTACACTATCACCACTATCCATCTGCAGAACTTTTTCATCATCTAAAACTGAAATCTGTACCCATTAAGCAATATCTCCCTACTCCTTCTTCTCCCAGCCCTTGGTAACCAGTATGTTCTTTTATGATTTAGCTATTCTAAGCACCTTATGTGAGTGGAATCATACAATAGTCGACCTTTTGTGTCTTTCACTTAGCATGATGTTCAAGTCATCCATGTTGTAGCGTGCATCAGAATTTCGTTCCTTTTTAAGGCTAATATTCCACTGCATGTATATGCTACATTTTGTTTACCCATTTATCTGCTGGTTGACTTATTGTGAATGTTGGTATACAATATCTGAGTCCTTGCTGCCACTTTTTTGGTCTACATCTTTAGCATCATTTTATATATAAAAACCCTTGTCTACCAATAGTGACAGTTTTACTTCTTCCTTTCTGATTTATATGCTTCTTATTTCTTTTTCTTGCCTAATTGTTCTGGCTAGGACTTCCAATACAGGCATACCTTGTTCTATTCCACTTTGCAAATACTGTGTTTTTTGTTTTCAAAGTGAAGGTTTGTGGCAACCCTGCGTCAAACAAACCTATTGGTACCATTTTTTGAACAGCATGTGCTCACTCTGTCACTTTTGGTAATCCTAGCAGGTTTTGACTTTGCATGATGACTTTATTTGTGGTGGTCATCAGTGACTTGTTACTCCTGTAATTGTTTGGGGGATGCCATGAACTGTGCCCATATAAGACCGCAAGTTTAATTGCTGAAATGACAACAAAGGATTCAGAATATTAAATAAACTTAGTTTCATAAGGCAGTGGCAGGGTTTGAGAGGATTGACTCAATTTTGTAATCATTTTACTCACAGTAGAACTTCTCTCAAAAGCACTGTATGCTACAGAGAAACTGTCCATGAAAGGAAGAGTCCCATCAATGTGATACTGCCTCAGCATCACCACCGTGATCAATCAACAGCAAGGCAAGACCCTCCACCAGCAAAAAGGCTGGCTGAAGTTTCAGATGATGTTTATTTAGCAGTTTTTAGCAAGCAAGTATTTTTAATTAAGGTATGTACATTATTTTTTTCTAGATATAATGCTACTGCACTAATTAATAGACTACATGTGCACCAGAAAACCAAAAAGTGTGTGACCTCCTTTATTGCAATGTTCATCTTATTGCAATGGACCCACGTTATCTCTGGGGTATGCCTGTAAACTGTGTTGAATATGGAGTGCTGCATTTCTCCCTACAAAACTCCAGAGTCATCTTTTTCTGAAATTTGTCTCCTGTAAAACAGTCATTCCACTTTACTGTTAATTTAGTTTGGCCAAGAGAATGATGCCATTTTTTGCTGTAATATTTTCTCCCTATTGAGCATACAGCACAAAATGAATATAGCTATATAACTGGCAAATGAATCAAGAAAAATAACTTTATCAGAACTTCCTAAGACTCTTCATGCCCACTTTTGCTCATGGGCACTGCCTCTGCCCCAGTCTACTGGAATAATAGCTATCTGACTTCTAAACACCATAGTTGAGTTTTGTGTCTTTTGAACTTTGTGTAAATGTAATAATAGATTATGGTCTCCTTAGCCTGCCTTCTTAAAAGAAATCATGGACTATATTTGGGTCCTTAAAAACTATCACAGCCAAAGGCCTAAGCAGTTCTTTTCCAGAGCAAATCACCAGCCCCTATTGGATAGACTTGCCTGTGGCTGCAGTCCCTTTTGCTTTACTTATTAACAAATGTTTACTTTGTCTTAACCACGACTTATGAAATAAAAAATTACTTCACAAAATTTATTAACATAAATTTGGTACCTTTGCTTCACTGCTTACAACAGGTTTTACAGGGAACTGGACATCAGTGGCTTTTAATATTGTATTTTCTTGAAGAATGTCTTGCTGAGATTGATTGTGACCAAATGGCTTTAAAAGAAATGAATAAAATGTTGAGAAATTTATCTCACAAAATACTTGAACAGATATTATCACTAAATCCCTGCAGTACAAATGATTTGTGCTTTAAAAAATCTTAGCTACTTGTAGGTTGGATGTATTCTCATAGGCTATAATTGACAGCAGGCTGAGAAAGACCATCTGATCAATCCTCAACATAGCCAAAACACTATAAATAAGCAATTAAGATGAAAACATTAAATATTTTATTCTGAATGTTTAAAATGTTTAAGAACTACTTCTTAGTAGAAGAAACTACAAGGTTGCAGCTGGCGCCTGCTAGCAGATGTGGTTTTGGAAACAGCTAGTGGTGTCCTTTAGTCTGATACAGTTCAAACCAGCTTGAACAGTGGAAACATCTGTGAAAAGTCCAGAGTAAAACACCTTGAGCATGACAAATTAAGTTAAATCAAACAGCTCTGGGTTTGGTCCTAACATGCAGTGAATTCCCAGACAGGTCCCTGGATCACTTTTCACACTGATGAAGGGATTGAAGGGGATAAGGATTAGATATCCATGGTAGCTTGTAGTTCTGACTTCAATATAAAGAGAGGTTTGAGAAACATTAGGACTAAGTTTGATGGAGTTTCCCTGAGGAAGCACAGCACGAAACATGCTCGGGCCAAATGTGTGTGTGTTTTGGGGGGCTGGGGGAGAATGGGGTAGAGGATGTGAGAAAGTGAAGAAAACAGTTTTGACTCCATTATTCCTAATGCTACAAAAACATTAGTGGTGTGAAGCTGATGTGACGTTAAAGTAATTCTGATCCATGAAAATTTTAGTAAGTGATGACATATTTAAGATCACCTAAAAAAAAAATGGGTAACTATGGTTCAGGCATCCAAAATGGAGCTGGGTAGCCATTGTGGATGTGGTTTCAGACACATTCCTGCATCACAGAAAACCTGAGTTTTCCAAACTGTATCAAACCAAGGGACACTACTAGTTGTTTTCAAAACCAATTAGCAGACGCTAGCTGCAACCTTGCAGTTTAGAAGTCACCCACCCCCCCTTTGCAACTATATAAACTGCACCCTTACTTCTGGCCAGCTCCAATCCTAATTCTTGACAATTTATGTAACCTTGCAGTTTTTTGCCTATAAGCACTCCTCTCTTGTGTAGAGCTGTAACACAGTTCAAGTGCTTTCTTGGATTATTGCTTCCCAGGCTGTTCCTTAACCTCAAATAAATGGTTGGTTGTTGTTCCTGCCTCAACTAGGTCTCCATTCTTGGAATTCTTGACTAAACTGACTTCAAATTAATGAAACTTCAAGAAGAGAAAACGCAACTTCTCTCCATATAGCTGAATCTGCTATATTCTAACTTACCTTTCTACCATAAAGACATTGAAAGAAGATGACTCCAACTGACCACACGTCAACCTTGTTGGAAATCTTTGGTGGTTCCTTTCCAACTACAAAACACTCAGGAGGTAAATACCTAGTTTGGGGCGGGGCAGAAAAAAGGAAAGGATATTAACAATTTATAACTTAAACTTGTATATGTAAAATCTTAGAACTTTCATTTTATCCATACATTGATGGATGTCCTAAACTTTTAAAGCATTTGTATCATCTGACTCTAGCACCAAAACAAAACTTTGTGATAAAGTGTATAAGATACAGTTAACCCTTTGACAACACAGGTTAGAACTGCATGGGTCCACTTGCATGAGGATTTTTTTTTTATAGTAAATACTACAGCACTACACAATCCCTGGTTGGGTGAGTTTCGGGCCTTTGGAGGAACCATGTATATGAAGGGCAACTCTTTAAGCTTACTCTCAGATTTTTGACTGTGTAGAGGACTGGTGCCCCTCATCCCTGCGTGGTTCAAGGGTCAATTATAAATGTGTATTTATAGAAATGACAAATTATCATTAGAAACTACAATGTTCTAATCTGAGGAAGTATCCACTAGGAGAAAAAACTCTTCCTATCCCCCTCTTCACCAGTGTTCACTCTTCCTAAAACACACAACTGATCAGCCAGTTCTTTTGTTTAAAGAACCTCAGCATCACTCACTAATAAGGTAAGACCTTGTATCTCTTGCTTGTAACAAAAGACCTGTCTTAGTCTAGAAGCAACTTAAATTTCCAAAATCTCTTCCCCTGACCTCCTCAAACTGGCTGCGGCTGCTGCTAAGTCACTTCAGTCGTGTCCGACTCTGCAACCCCACAGACGGCAGCCCACCAGGCTCCCCCGTCCTGGGATTCTCCAATGCATGAAAGTGAAAAGTGAAAGTGAAGTCGCTCAGTCATGTCCGACGCTTCGCGACCCCATGGACTGCAGCCCACCAGGCTCCTCCATCCATGGAATTTTCCAGGCAAGAGTACTGGAGTGGGGTGCCATTGCCTTCTTTGGTCAAACTGGCCAATTCATTTGGTCCCCACACTATGCTTCTCCACATGCTTCTGAATATAACAACCTTTTATGCTTGCTTTTACCCCAGTTAGGGCTTCCCCAGTGGCTCAGAGGTTAAAGAATCCGCCTGCAATGCAGGAGATGGGGGGTTCAATCCCTGGATTGGGAAGATTCCCTGGAGAAGGGCGTGGCAACACAATCCAGTATTCTTGCCTGGAGAATCCCGTGGACAAAGGAGCCTAATAGGCTACAGTCCATAGTGTCACAAGGAGTCAGGACTGAAGTGACTTATCATACTCATTTGACATGGTGACTGCCCTCTCTTCAAGACCTGCCCAACTATCACAAGCCTTCTCTGCTTCCCTCCAGGGACCTCTGTTACATTAATTCATTATATTCATTAATCTTTGTGCCGTTTTGAATGGTAGCAGTAGCAGAAATATATGGAGCATTCAAAAATACTTTTTAAATTTATAAAGTCATAATTTTAGACAAAAAAATAGATTGTAATATTTACTTTTACCTTTTAAATAAATTTAAGTGAACAGCTCCACCAGGATGCAAGCATCTCCCCCCGTCTAAAATTTGGATAAACTACAAAGTCCTGAAAAGCAGTAATACAGCTAAATGGGAATCTATTGTTTTTTGTTTTATACTCACTATGCTAAAATCACTTCAATTTCAGCAGAATGTTCACAGATGACCGATAACTTGTATGTGATGTAATCCTTTCCTACCCTCCTGATTTGGAGGGTACTTGATTTAGTAAAAAGGCAGGTTTGTTCTATGAAAAGTATGTAGTTTCTGTAGGCTTATGTATGTGTGTAACTGAAACAAGAATGGCTCTTAAACACAATGCTATGCTGTCCCTCAAGGTAAAAGGGTGTAAGCAAGGAGACAGAGTATGGGAACAGAACCAAAGCTTTTCAGGAAAAATCACCAGCAGGATTTAGTGAATGCTTGCATTTGAAACCTGAGACGGAGGAAGAAATAAAACTCACTTTCTTCTAAGTGATACTGACAGTTAGGGGATGAAAGGCAATTTGTAAAGGCACCATGACACATATTCTAAAAGTTTGTATAGGACATTGTTTACCAAATACATACCTTAAAAAACTAATATGACTAGAAACTAACCATTTTGGGAAACACTGTTTCTATAAGAAGTGTAATTCCAGGTTCCTAACATGGAAATGCCATGACTGTATCTCTTGTAGAGCACCCTAAACATAAGCGTCCCTGGTGCCCATCTGCCAGGGAAACTCCACTGCCTTGCCCTACACTACGGAAGCCAGAGTGAGAGGGAGACGGCATGTGGGCGTCTCTGCAAAGGATTACCTATTACTTAGAACATGGTTTCAAGCTGCTTTCCACAGAATATAGGGTTCTACCAAGCAACTAGGATTCTAAGATTTTGTGATAAAAAATAGTCTCAAGATTACTTACTGATTCAGGGTGCTGACCTTCAAGGAGTTACCAGTTTGAATGATTTTCTTTAAACATATATTTAAAAAATCTATGACATACTGCATTATATTCCTAAAAAAATGCCACAAGCATAATTTTAAAACTCTAAAATGGCTTTACATGAATATGACTAATCCTGTTCTGAAAAGTAAAAATGCATACAAACTTGTAGCATTTTCTACTGCCCAGGCTAACTATGTTCTACAAACCCTAAAGTCACATGTATGTTTGTAATCACCATCCTGTATAGCTATCTCCCTTCCAATTAAGATTTCACTCCTTTTGCTAAATTCATTCATTCTGAAAACTAAACTTTTGAAAGTAAGTTTGAAAATTCACAATGAAGTAATTTTTGTCAACACTCAGGTAACTGTGAAGGAGTGACATTCATTTAGACTCAAGTCCAAAAGACAAAGATTGTACCAAATTTCTCTTATCATTCATGACAACAAAACATCCATCTCAAACAAAAACTGTAACCACAAAACCTGTACAGAGAGGACTTAATACTGCTTTTAATAGCTAAGATAATATATTAAGTATTATTATTCATAGTAAAGTAATGCTCAAAATTCTCCAAGCCAGGCTTCAGCAATATGTGAATTGTGAACTTCCAGATGTTCAAGCTGGTTTTAGAAAAGGCAGAGGAACCAGAGAAAAAATTGCCAACATCCGCTGGATCATCAAAAAAGCAAGGGAGTTCCAGAAAAATACCTATTTCTGCTTTATTGACTATGTCAAAGCCTTTGACTATGTGGACCACAATAAACTGTGGAAAATTCTGAAAGAGATGGGAACACCAGACCACCTGACTTGCCTCTTGAGAAATCTGTATGCAGGTCAGGATGCAACAGTTGGAACTGGACACGGAACAGACTGGTTCCAAATCGGGAAAGGGTATGTCCAGGCTGTATATTGTCACCCTGCTTATTTAACTTATATGCAGAGTACCTTAAGAGAAATGCTGGGCTGCATGAAGCAAAAGCTGGACTCAAGATGGCTGGAAGAAATATCAATAACCTCAGATACGCAGATGACACGGCCCTTATGGCAGAAAGTGAAGAAGAACTAAACAGCCTCTTGATGAAAGTGAAAGAGGAGAGTGAAGAAGTCGGCTTTAAAGCTCAACATTCAGAAAACTAAGATCATGGCATCTGGCCCCATCACTTCATGGCAAATAGATGGGGAAACAGAGACTTTATTTTTTTGGGCTCCAATATCACTGCAGATGGTGACTGCAGCCATGAAATTAAAAGATGCTTACTCCTTGGAAGGAAAGTTATATACTTTGCCAACAAAGCTCTGTCTAGTCAAGGCTATGGTTTTTCCAGTAGTCATGTACGGATATGAGAGTTGGACTATAAAGAAAGCTGAGGGTCGAAGAATTGATGCTTTTGAACTGTGGTGTTGGAGAAGACTCTAGAGAGTCCCCTGGACTGCAAGCAGATACAACCAGTCCATCCTAAAGAAGATCAGTCCTGAGTGTTCATTGGAAGGACTGACATTGAAGCTGAAACTCCAATACTTTGGCCACCTGATGCGAAGAGCTGACTCACTGGAAAAGACCCTGATGCTGGGAAAGATCGAGGGCAGGATGAGATGGTTGGATGGCATCACCAACTCAATGGACATGAGTTTGTGTAAACTCCAGGAGTTGGTGATGGGACAGGGCATGCTGTGGTCCATGCGATCATGAAGAGTCAGACACGACTAAGTGACTGAACTCAACTGATTCATAATAAACATCACTCTAACATTACAGAACAAGATTCACAAATTCTCCACATTAGGAATTTCTGGCTGGTAGTCACTGACACCAAATTTCTCTTCCTCTAGTTTCCTGATATTTATAGTTAAGACGGGATGAGAAAAGAGAGCTGACGCCAGTCTCAACTCAGACTGCATATCAGTACCCTTATTATACCACAATAATCTCAAAGGCACATGAAAATAAATTCTCTTTAAAAAGACTGGGAACTGACCTAGATAATTTTAGTGTTTTTAATAATACACTTACCAGTATGTGCCTGCCCCTTGGGAAGTTAGATCCATTCCATCTACACCATAGCTGTCATCATCCATGATCTTGGACAGACCAAAATCAGTGATTTTGATTTCTCCACACGCTGTTCCATCTACCAGGAGGATGTTTCCTAAGAACAAAGTTTATTTAATGATACAAAGATGAAAAACATTATGTTTACTATGAAAGCTGATTTTGGGGAAATATATAATACATTTAATATACATATGTAAAAATTTTAATTAAAATAAACATTTAAAATATAATTTTAAAATATAGTGATACAATTTTAGAAACACTTCAGATTCTAGTATGCCACCATCTCCTAAAAACTAAATCACAAAGCATATTTTTCAGATAATTCTTTAAAGTTTAAAAACTTAAGACAAATTTATTTAATTACCTGGCTTAAGATCATAATGTATAATAGGGGGTTTGATTTCATTGAGATATCTTAGTGCATTTACAATTTGCATTACAATAGACCTAGCTTCTTTCTCTGACATTAATTTATGTTGCTTCAGATAGAAATCCAAGTCATTGCCTTCACAGTATTCTAACACTGTACAAAACCTACAATGGAGAAGAGAAAAAAATCAGACACAAAATATTAGCCAATAATTCAGAGTCACAATGGAAAAATGAGTATTTGTATCATCACTACAGAATAGGGGAAGCAAATGCCAACATGTCTTTTCTTAAAAACTAAGTCTGTTTACATTCACTTACGTATCTGTATCCAAGGAGAAATAGTCATAGAGTTTAACTATTCTGGGGTGATCCAGTTCTTTGTGTATTCTATACTCTCTGCAGGCATGTCTACGAGAAGGAGAGAGTATTAATTCTCCATGACCATTAAATGTATTTTCAAAATTGATAAAAATCAAAGAATTAATATTTACTTGTGGTAGTTTTCCTTCTTCTCATCCCTCCAGCTTTTATTAAGCTGGTGGATCTTCACAGCAGCATATCTTTGTTCATAAAGGTCAAAAGCCTAGGATTAAAGGAACAGAGAAGACTTTGAACCAAAGACCAACTGAAGAGCTCATTTTTGGGGGGGGGAGTAATAATTTTGCAGTAATATGGAACTAGAATATACATTTTTATACTATAAAATATACTACTTTTAGTAGTCATCTCTGCTAAGATTATAGTTGAGTGGCACATTTATTATCAGAAACAAGATACAAATTTCATGATGTTAAATCTGAGTAAAACTTAATGCAAATTTTCATGTTCAAGTCTTATAAATGCCAATATACTGAATTAAGATAAAACAACAAAGCTTTAAAAAAAAAAAAGCATAGACCTTCTCTTCTATACCAGCAGCAGCAGTAAGCAGCCAGGAAAACAGGTGACTTTAACACTTTTTTGGTGGATTGGATGAAGCAAACTTTTTCCTCTATCTTTTCCTACAGACTCCATGTTTTTTCCCCATTTGTTTGAAAACAAGTTCATTAAAGTTCTAAACTTTTATTATAAAATTAATATATATAATTATCACACCATATCAGCAATTACTCCTTAATCTCAAGATAGGTTTTTATACTGGTTTGTTCAAATTATCAGTCTATTTCTTAATAAAGAATGATCAACTATTTTTTAAGGCTTCAGGTGACTTTTTTTTTAAAACACTGCATATCATGAAAGAAATTTAATAGTTTAGGTTCTACTGTAACTTACATACAAAAAGTGCTCCTTTAAGAAAACACTCAAAAAGCTTACATATTTATTAGGAAGAAGGTTCATAGCTTCCACTCCCTCTATCAAATTTAACCTTAAAATAAGCAGGAGGGGTAAACTGCTTGTCACAAAATTATAAAAGCATGAGACCTGAAATCACAGAGGATGCAGTAATTAAGAATATTCACTTTGGAGTCAGATAAAATTATTAGATGCATTACTTTGTGATAACAAAGTCTCAAAGTTTGGGTTGTTGAAGAGAATTAAATGGGGTGAAACATACAAAGTGTTTAAAATAATACCCAATAGACATTAGCTAAGTTAAGTTTCAAACAACAGAAAAGAAAAAAAGTTCAGGTAGGAGAAAGCAAAAAGAACATAAAAGGTTTATTAAAAAATTTGCAAGCAATCACATTAAGAAGGGAAAAAAAGTAAACATTCTAAAGTTCCCATCAGTGTATACTGACTGTAAGGTAAGACACCTCTTTCAAAGTACACCTTCCCATGAAGCTAAGATGGCAATCACTAAGCAACTGATTCAATGTTTTCCACAAAGTCTGTTTTTTGATTTACAATCTGCTGCTTTGTTTCCCAAGGGACATGGCAACAATGAAAGGACTTTGAAGGGGTCAGAGGGAGCTGTCATTAGTATTTAAATCAACAATAGGGATTTAAGACATTAGAGCCCCAACAATCTGCATTTTCTAATTTCTACGTAAAGACTTTCTTCAAGAGAAAAGTCTCTTTTAGCCCCTGTGAGACTAAAAACAGTGGAAATATTACTGGGCAGTGGCAGAAGACCGTCATGAAAGCTATTAGAAGCAACAGAGGCTGGGCCACCTTTAGGATAAGCCAGTGCTAGCTATGGTGATTTTAGATCCACCGTGAGCTATTGTGATCTTCTTTTCTACCTTGTGGCCTGGGTAAGACTACTCAATGCTTAAGTTTCCAGATAAACTATCATTAGAATCAAAGAAACAGGAAGTGGAAGAGGGCTCACAGATCACTCTTGATGGGTGATACTAATGCTTATCCAAGCTAACAAAACAAAAACTAGTTCATGGCTGAACCAAGATCAGAAATTAGTTCTCTGAATCCAAATCCCATCATTTCCCCAGAGTCAGAACTGGATACAGGTTGTCTCTTGAACAGAGAGGATTTCTAATAACAATTTGATGAGCTTACATTTACTCAACACCAAAATTCTATGTGATTTACCTGATAATTCATTTAATCATTACAATGATCCCATGATGTACATAACTGTTAAACAGTCCCAGATGAAGACAGGATGGTAAAGCAATAAGCCAAAGTTTAGACAGCTGGTAAACAGCAATCAGAATTAGGATTCAAACTCAGCCTGTCTGGCTTCAGAACCCAAGGTCTTAATCACTGATTATACCCATACATAATGAAGCTCAAAGTGTTACAAAGAGCTTATAAAAGGCAGATTAATAGGGAAGCCTTCAATAGGAATTCAAGTTTAAGGTGAGACTATGACCTTCATTATGACTTCATCCTAACTAAGAGCAAATGGGAAAGCCACTGGGGCTTATAAGGCAGGGGAGTGAGATGATCATACTGCATTTTCTAACAAGGCCATTCTACCTGAGCATACACACAAATGGACTGGAGAAACTCAACGTGCAGGAAAAGGTGATTGGCTAGGAGATTAGAGCAGCAATGCAAACAAGAGACAATGAGGCTTTGAGCTGACAGAGAGAAGGGTCCTTGCTGGATTTAGGAGAGCTTAATGACACTAGTAATGACATACACCAGAGACTGGTTATGCTGGAGGAAGGGGGTTAAGGGAAAGATGTAGTGAAAAATGGCTTTCATTCTTCATTCACTGCAGGTTTTTCAAGGAAGGAACTGGGTAGATAAAGGGCAGTGCTGTATATTAAAATAGGAAGCAGAGTGTTTTTTTTTTTTTAAGGGAGGGGAAGGTGTGGGAGGATAGGAAGATAAGCTTCTATTTCAGATGTGAGTTTGCAGTACTTATGAAGCATCCACATGAGGTGAATGGGCTTAAGTCATGTAAACCCGCAGGTATGGGGCTCAGAAAGAAGTGTGGGTAGATAGCTATGCATCTATGTATCTATATCTGAAACCAAATAGGTGATAACTCAGTGAGGGGGAGGGAGATATATTTGAAAAGGAGATTTAAGAATGATAAAGAAATTTGGGAACACAGTATTTAAAGGTTGGTCAGAAAGACAATATAGAGCAAAAAAAAAAAAGGTATAAAGTATTAAATGTGATGAGTAAAAATTTCTGCATTCATATATATTTGAGAAACACTGGCCTTGAAATAGGTAGAAATTAGGGTAAATCCAGGACATGTAAGGACTTGTAACACATGTTTAAGGGATACAACCTTGTCATAAATGTACTGTATTAAATGGCTACCTGCCTATCTTGATTCTAATGACTGTTATTATTTGTATCAGGTTGGTCAGTGGTAATCAGCTACCAAATATCAGAGGGTCTACAAAGGCACAAGGATAGTTTTTAGACTCTCGAGATAACATAAGCCATCACAGACTCTTTGCAATGAGAGGACATAATTTCCCAGTCAAAAAAAAATCATAAAAACAATAAACATGTACTTCTTAACCACATACTCCTATATCTTTGCTATATTAGTGTGAAGAACAGAAAAAAAAATGTACATTACCTTATATACTTCACTAAAGCCACCTCTACCAAGCAGATGGAGCAATAAATATCTTTCATTTAACGTTGGGTGATCTTTGAACCTTAAGGGTGGGGAAAAAAACACTCATGCATATGAAAACACACACAAAAAGGGTTCTGTCCACAACACAGTTGTGCTCTTATTCTACTCCTATTTCTTTTTCCTGCTGTTTTGAACTTCTTTCTCTACCTGCATGACTATTACCCATCTTAACACTTTGGTGTTCACAAAGCCTAACATTCAGCTATAAAGCTGAATATTAAAGTTCAATGACCAATTATAGCACTGTGATAAAGACCTACCAACTACTGTATTACTAAGAGCTTTATAAAATCCTGTATCTACTCATCAGGAAATACATCCCTTATGAAAACATACTTTTATCTGGGAGTTCTAATTAATCAAGTTTTATAGTACTGACATAGGATTAAAATTAATTATAAGCTGACTTTCAACCATGGTTAAATTTTATAGTCTTTCCCTTTTGCAAATAAAATTTTAATTCCCAATCAAAAAATAAATGCTTTAAAAAAACAAACAAAACCCACCACAAACAAAATTATTTAATGTTTATCACATCTGCTGCACACTAAGCACTCACATATATTATCTCATTTGTTTCTTAACTAACCCTCTGAACTAGGCCCTGCCACTACCTCTATTTTACAGATGAGGGCACTACTGCACAGAAAGGTTAAATAACTGTCCAAGGTCAACAGCCAATACATGGCAGGGTTTCACAGAAAAACATGGTTCCAAAATGTACACTCTTGATTCTTAAGGGGGGGGGGGGACCCAATAACAGTTTTATAGTCTCAGATATGAAATATACATGGTATTTTACTCAATGTCAATACAACTTTGATAATTTAAGCTTTTCTTGAGAATTAACAGAGATTTCTGTTTAGTTTTAAAGCAAAATGTAGGAAATTTCCTGGTGGTCCAGTGGTTAGGATTCAGCATTTTCACTGCCGTGGCCCACATTCAATCTCTAGTTGGGGAACTAGAATCCTGCAAGCCACGTAGCCAAAAAAAATAAAGAAAGGGAAATATAATAATTCATTTAATTTTCATCAAGTGGATTAAGTCATATTCACAAACAGCGTTGGCATAATTTTCAGAACAGTCAACTGTAAATTAGCTTTGACTTATCTGCTTTGTTAGAATTTATCTGGTACAATTAAGTATATTCCATAACTGTTATTTCATTTACCTTATATATTGGAATGATTATGTTCATAAAGATGACCATAAACAGGCCTTCTTTTAAGCAAGATATTTCATGGCAGAAATAGGCCACTTCCAGTTCTGACACTCATTTAGGTCATTAAGATTTAAAGTACATAAATCTGAAAGTGTAAAAAAGACATCCTTCCTGTCCTTTACACAGACTAAATCCAATTAATGCCTTGCTTTATTTCTGTCTTCCTCATAAAGCTGCCACCTGTCCACAGGCATTTTCTCTTTGAATTCCTTTAGCATTTAAATAAAATTGATAATTAGGGATTAAGGATAGAGACTTTAATTTAAACTTCTCTTCTATTTCTCCTCCAGTTTTTACACAATGCTGGATACATGGTTTAATGAAATCCCTTTAGCTCAAACGATTTCTTCTTCACTGTAACACTAACTTTGGTATTTAGTCAACAAACACTTATTCTGTGCCTAGCATATGCCAGAAACGGGTCTAGGTTTGGGGGATATAGCAAGAATAAAACTAAATCCCTGCTCTCATGTAGCTTACATTCCAGTGAAAGGAAACAGATAAATGAACTGGAAAAAAAAATGTATTTCCAAATAGTGATAAATGCCAAGAGAAAATAAAGCAAGGTAAGGATGCTGAGAGAGGGGATGGAGGAACGCTAGGGCTGATATTTTAGACAGGGTGGCCTTTCTAATGACCACCTGGAGTGAAATAAGTAAGCCACTCACATGTCTAGAGGAAGAACATTTCAGGCAGAAGAAATGGAGAACAGAAAAGCTTTGAGATGGGAATGAGATGTGATTGAGGGAGCCAGTGTATCTACGACATATAAGTGAGAGGAGGATGAGAGAGGGGTGGTGGTGAGGTGGCTGAGACCGGATCATACAAGGCCTTCAGAGTCATGCGAAGGACTTTATTTCTATGATGAGAAGTCCCTCAACAAGGAAATACTGTGTTTATGATCTCCAAGGGGAGAAAATCATTTATCATGTAATCCTATGAAATACAAATAATGACTTACTGTGAATTATCTTCATTATTTATTCTTTTGAGCTCTCGAATATGAAGATTTCTGACTCTTTCCAAACGTTCAAGTTCTGCCTGGATTTCTGCCTCTTCCTGCAAATGAAGAGAGGGGACTATAACAAGCTCAATTTATTTGTGATATAAAAAAGATATTTTTACTCATGCACCAACTTTTTTTTTTACAGTGATGGAAAGAATAGTGTATTGTAAAGTACCACTGAGTTAAAAGATCAAAGTGCTCTTTTCAATGCCTGAAAGATAAGACAGAGATAAGGCAAAAGCCTATTTCAAGAAACCAACCTCCACATGAAAATCTCTGTACTACAAGAAATCTATTTTTATAATGTCTAAACTAAAAATGACTGCAAGGTAGTCTGAAACTGCCTTATAACACAAAATGAGCTGTAAGTTTTATTTCTGGTACATTCAAATTTTAATTTATGAGGGAATAATTTACTAATACAAAATAAATGAAGATATTTCACAATAGTTAAAAGAGGAAGAAAGGTAAAACACAGAACTACTGATTATTCAGAGACCTTACACCATTTGGAATACACAAACACACACGTACAATCTCACCAATCACTTTGGATAAATTCCACTACAATTTTAAAGAGACTCTTAAAAATTATATGACTAGCTGTGATTTAGAGCCTTAGTCATCAGGGCGCACCTAGGCAAATCCGAAAGGAATTTACTTTAACATTCATTAATCTAAAAATTATGATATTTTCATGTCTCAAAATATACAATTTTTAGAACATTTAAAAGAAAGACACCAAAACAAAACCACCCATTACACACATAGCTCTTTGTCAATATAAATACTATTAAAAGACAAGAACATACCAAATTTCAGTGAAAAGTTCTAGAAATGCCAATTTTATAATATTTCTGAAAAACTATTAAGTAAACACAGATTGCCTTGGCCTAAATGTATAACTGTTATAAATCTATATACAACATGGAATAGGGATCATTTCTGAATATTATACTTAAATATTTCTGCTTTTCATTAGCACTGTCTCGTAATGATTTATCTTCTAAAATTAAAAAAAAAAAATCCTTTGCCTCAAAAAGTCAACAATTCTCAAATTTACTCTGAAAGTATATTTCATTGTAAGGCAGATAATAGAGGTATAAAGTCTATTACACCATTACCTAAGGCTTAAACTGAAAGGAATATTCTCAGTGTCATAAAGAAAAACATGTTCACAGGTTAAAAAACTAAGTATGTTTATATTCTACTTGCCCTTAAGTTTATTTCAATTATTTAAAAATGAAACTCAACCCTTACTTGTTGCAGATATTTAATGTAAATTAGGCATTAGATAATACATGCTGATGCTGCTAAGTCGCTTCAGTCTTGTCTGACTCTGTGTGACCCCATAGACAGCAGTCCACCAGGCTCCTCTGTCCTTGGGATACTCCAGGCAAGAATACTGAAATGGGTTGCCATTTCCTTCTCCAGTGCATGCATGCAAGCTAAGTCACTTCAGTTGTGTCCAACTCTGTGCAACCCTATGGACAGCAGCCCACCAGGCTCCTCTGTCCATGGGATTCTCTAGGCAAGAATACTGGAGTGGGTTGCCATTTCCTTCTTCATAGATAATACATAGAAACCATCAAAATAAATTTAAGTGAAAAAAAGGGAAAAAATTAAGATGAACTTTTCTAAAATTTGGGGGAGAGTTCTCTAAAATACACTAAATTCTCCGAAATTTCCTCATTTAGTGTAGCTTCAGTCACAAATATTTTTAATTTTAATGAAAATAAGAAAAAAAAGGTAAGATAATGTTCCAGGGGATTAAACAGTTTCATCATAAGGACAGGAAATAGATTCAAAAGCTTGGCAACAATCAAGTCAAATCACATTTCAGTTGTCTCAATTCAGTTACATAAAGCAGAATAAGAAACTGGCTATATAGGTGTGTCCATAAATATGAAAAAATTCAATTTCAATTATCACAGAACAGAGAAAGAGATAACTTACTTTTTTCAGATTATTAACGTTTGCTGCCTTAAAATTTGCTGTTAATTTCTTACACATGTATGAAGCTACTAAACACTTTAGTAAACTACTGGTATAATTTTAAATAATCTGGTAAAATGGTGAAATGCTTATTAGAATTGCCAGCAAAAATATCTGTTTCAACTTTTACTTGAAATTGTGGTATGGGTATACTTATTATTTGAAAAGTGAATTTATAGAAATTCTATTATAAATATACAATTTTGAAACAACTAGATTGTTGACACATAATTACATTTGTTTTATAATTTTTGGTAATCTTCAGATGTTTATACAATGGCAATAATCAATATTACAAAACAGTTACTAAAGAAAATAAAATGAATGTATGTGCCAGTTAAGCAAGTTTTTATTCCTCTATAGAACATGCCAAGTATGGGCTTCCCTAGAGGCTTATATGGTAAAGAATCTGCCTGCAATGCAGGAGACCAGGGTTTGATCCTTGGGTCAGGAAGATCCCCTGGAGAAGGGAATGGCTACCCACTCCAGTGTTCTTGCCTGGAGAATCCCATAGACAGAGAAGCCTGGCGGGTTCCATGGGGTTAGAGAGTCAGACAAGACTGAGCGACTAAGCGCACACACACACATGCCCCATAAGATCTTGTAATACTAAAGGACAGGCAAGCTTCATTCAGTCTGCATTGTAAAGTTTACAGGAAGAAACCCCAAATGTCAGAAGGACTAGTTAAAACAAACAGCTGGATCCTAGCTGTTTAAGAGGAAAGGTCAAGGGAAGGAACTATAACTGAGTATATGCAGATACACATAAATCTTCCATAGTCATCAGTAAATATATTTACATCTCCCATAATGTAATTTAGTATTCATTCCACAGTATCTTGGACCTTAAAACAAAGTGACATATTTCTAGGGGAAAGATAATTCAGCAACTCTTAAATAACTTCTCTCAAATCCCACTGAGAAAAAGTATAAATTCTGTTACGGACTGAAGACTTTGTGCTCCTCCCAAATTGTGTATGTCTAAGCCCTTGATGAGATGGCTGGATGGAATCATCAACTCGGTGAACATGAGTTTGAGTAAACTCCCGGAGTTGGTGATGGATAGGGAGGCCTGGCGTCCTGTATTCATGGGGTCGCAAAGAGTCGGACACAACTGAGCGACTGAACTGAACTGAAGCCCTAACCCCCCAGTGTGATGGTATTTGGAGAAGGGGACTCTGTAAGTTAAGAGTTAGCTTAGGTAATGAGAATGGAGCCCTCTTGATGGGATTTAGTGGTTTTTTGAGTAGGAAGAAAGAGATCTCTCCTCCCAACCCCACCACCTCTTTGTGGCAGCATAGAGAAAAATCACATGAGGATTTGAGAAGATGACCATCTACAAACTAGGAAGAAAGCTATGGAAACTAAACCCTAGCTCCCCTCGTAAATAATCTGACTGCCAACGCAGGAGACACAGGTTCGACCCCTGATCCCGGAAGATCGCACATGCGGCAGAGCAATTAACCCTATGCGCAGCAATTATTCAGCCTGTGCTCTAGAGCCCAGGAGCCACAACTACTGGAAGCCTGCATGCCCTAGAGCCCATGAGCCACAAGAGAAGCCACCGCAATGAGAAGCCCACAAAAGCAACTAAGACCCAGCACAGCCAAAAATAAATGAATGGTTAAAGAAAAAAAGATACTAAACCCCAAGGGACCTTGATCTTGGCCTTCCAGCCTCTAGAACTATGAGAAATAAGTTTCTGTTGTTTAAGCTGCCCAGTCTATGGTATTCTGTTACATCAGTTATTTATTCTCTCCTTACAGAAGGGAATTCCATTATGGAATGGAATCCTCAAACACATGGCAAAGGTAGGTCAAATTACTGAAATAAAAGAAAGGTAGTCCAGAATGGAGATCATGCTTAGTAAGAACACTAAATTTCAATACTCTACTCATCCACTAGCTGAGCAATTTACAGCAGAAAAGGTCTAAAAAGAAACAGCATCTCTGGAAAAGAATTAGTCTCTGTAGGCAATTATGGTGTTGAAGGGACACGAATAAGAAAAAATCCTATTAGAGGGAGGTAATCCCATACAGAGAGAGGGAGGTTTGGTAATCACATACAATAAAAGGACATTGTTCTTTTCTGTTTAGACAAAAAGATATGACAATAAACCTTAACAGTACATACTACAGCTATTTTAACAGCATCTTAAAATAAGATCTAATATCTGAATTACTTAAATATATATTTTAAAAAACCCAGGTTAGACAAGTATACAACAATAGATCTCAATATTGCCTCATTTAAGTAACCTGCAAAGCATAACACCTTCCAAAATTTTTAACTTTAAAAATTTATATGCAAGGTAAAACCAATTTGTCCCTCAATAGATATTTAGCATACAAATACTTTCTATTTGTACTCAGAGTCCCTTCCGGCAACTTAATATCCCCTTGGCTCAACATTCCAAACTAAAAGTATGCTACAGCAATGTAGAATCTAATCTCTGTAAAATGCCAAGTTAAATGTAAAATGCAGGTTAAAACTGCTAGGCAGACTTGGGGTATTTTTTGAGCATTTCCCTTAATGGCAGTTTTTAAAAGGGCAATTATTTTCTTTTAAAGTAGGGGTGTGTAGGCATTAAACTATAAAACTTACAAGTTATATAGTAATGCATTTTCACATGTAAAACTAATGCATTTCCTGTAAAAGTTGAACATACTACTGAATAGCTTAAATTTCTTTAAGCAAATCTTTAACGTATATTACATGTTAGCCCCACAAAAACCCCTCAATTTTGAAAAGCTGCCTTTCTATAAAGTCAAGATAAGATTGAAAGGTGAAGTTAACAAAAGGCGCTATTAAAAGCTAATAGGGCAGTGAAGAAGAGAATTTAAGAATATTATTACCAATTTACTTCAAATTCATAGGTCCTCAATTTTTTCTCTATTATATTCTTTTATATATCCTAAATATAACTATAAGAGACACGAACCATTGGAAATATGAACCAACAAAAAAAACTACATTGAACGTATAGAGATCAGTTTTGAAACTGCCTGTAATCCTCTTTTTGCTCGAGTATAACTGTATAGATTGAGGAGTAGGAGGA